GAGGGGGGGGCAATTAAGGTAACAGGACTAGGATGGGGTAAAATGAGAAGTTGGAGAAACAGGAGGCTGAAGAGAAGAAGAGTAAAAGGAGGGAGGACAGGAGAAAGAGTAGAACGATGTTATTGTTACTTACCTTATTGTTTTATTTATTTCAGTCTCTGTTACCTGATCGTGTCGAGGGTTAGAATTGAATATCTTTCTATTGTTTGTAGTATTACCTTTGGAATGCTATTTTGTTTTTGTCTAATGATTCTCTGACCCCTTTCTGTACATCTTTTCATGCGCCTGCCTCTTCTTTTCACCTCCCTTTTTTAATACCATTTTGATAATTTTATTTAGTTTTCCTACCTTTCCTAAATAGTGTTAATCATTGTGCTCTTCCCCCACTCCTACAGTTCTCCCGTATGTGGACGAGGCGGGCATGTCTCTTCTCTTCGACTACCCCCACCCCCACCATCATCCTTTTCTTCCCCCTCACCCCTTATCTACAGTGCATTTAGGTTTTTTGGTCTCCCTTTCCATAATACAGTTAATCATTCTAATCTTCCCCCCATCTAAACAGTTCCCCCGCATGTGGACGAGGCAGGCATGTCTCTTCTCTTCGACAACCACAACCACCACCCTTTTCCTCCCCCTCACCCCTTAACCACCGTGCATTTCTTTTTTTTTTTGTCTCCATACCTTAATACAATTAATCATTCTGATCTCCCTCATCCCCACAGTTCCCCCGTATGTGGACGAGACAGGCATGTCTCTTCTCTTCGACCACCACCCCCACCCCCACCACCTCCACCACCACCGTTTTCTTCTCCCTCACCCCTTATCCACAGTGCATTTTTTGTCTCCCTTCCCTAAATACAGTTAATCATTCTGATCTTCACTCATCTGAACAGTTCCCCCGTATGTGGACGAGGCGGGCATGTCCCCCTTCAACCAGTCAGTGGTCACCGGACAGCCTCTATACGTCAACTGCCCCATCCAGGGGAAACCCCCACCACAGGTCAAGTGGCTCAAGGACGGCGAGCCGCTCTCCGCTGACCTTGACCCCAACGTCAGACTGCTGGCTGAAGGTCGTCGCCTTGAACTCGTCAACGCTCGGGTCACAGACAGGGGACGCTACCTGTGTGTCGGAGAGAACATCGCCGGGAGGACTACTAGAGATTTCCTGGTCAATATCTATGGTACGATCTAGCCGATGCTAGTCTTATTTTTGCCAAACTTTCCATCCCATTTTTTCTCTACACTTTTATCACAAAACTACCGAACAATTGAAGCACCAAATCACGACTGAGACAGGCAGGATCGAAGTAGCCCATTTTCATTCGTTCATCTTCATTAAGTCGGTGAAGGCGCCAATAATTACAGTTGCAATTACAGACTGTGTTAACAAAAACATGACTATTTTTACTTTCAGTTCTGATCCGAGACCCAGATTGGGCCAGTAGAGTTTTGTGTTCATTCAGTCTGGGTTGGCCCTGACAAGCAGAAATAACGTAACCTGCCTCCTGAATTCTAAATTGTATCGATAATAATACGAAACACTTACTCACTGACAAGTCCTCAGAAGCATTTACATTTAGAATATTATTTTTGCGAAAATCAAAGATTCGACGTCAAGTACATACACTGTGTAAAGAATATTGTCGTTCTTCCTCGTGCAGTACCGCCCTCGGTGGAGCAGCCTGGCGTGATCGAGCAGTCTGAAGTGGTGGAGGGGAACACTGTATACCTCACCTGCCCGGCGTCTGGGATCCCGCTACCCAAGATCACCTGGTTCCGGAATGAAGTACCCATCAAGGCAAACACGTCCAAGGTATGATTGTTTTGGGGATGGGAGTAAATAGTGATGGATAGGCAGAGAGAGAG